CAGCAAACCTGTTGAAGGTCTAGCTGTCTCAGCCACTTCTAAATGTAAAAATGTAAAAAAAAAAAGAAAGAAAGAAATAAAAATGAAAGCTTGCCTTGTGTTTTCTGTTCCCCAGAGGTAAGCTAACCTCATTATTTTCTCCTTTAGATCACTTCACAGTTTGCAGGTAAGAAAACAAGCTTCTTCCCTTTTAACATTCTATTAGTAATTAAATTATTCTTTCAAGCTTTTTTGGTAAATGTGAGTGTATGTTTGCGTTTTGCTCAAAGAACCAAACCTACAACCATTCTCTTATACCCAAAATGTATAGACAACCTTATTATTTTACTCTCTAAAATTTTTTAACGTGTCCATTTGTATTTTTCCTTCAGTATCCTTGTGTTTAACAGGAAAACTATATGCATTAAAACAATTGGAAACCACATAAAATGAGAAATAACATTTGTATAACAACAGTTCATATAACACACAAAGTGCATTGTCTGTATAATGTGATTTTGTAGTGGATGACATATTAATAAGTAAGAGTTAAAGTAAAAATGATAAATGGAACTTGCTAGCAAAAATATTGCCAGGCACACCTTAAGCACTAATGAGGATGTTTATGTAATGTGTCATCATAGACTGAACCTGTATTATATGCAAAAATGTATTTTAAAAGAGAAGGAATGAATGTGGCTAAGTTCAAACTAATTATTAACAGTAGAATGTGATTCACCAAGCTCATGTACAGTATAGCCCCTATGTGTGTGTCTGTGTACATATATATATATACATATACATATATATATGCACTGCTCACAGACTGATTTCCTCAAAAGTCTGTTTTTAGACACATTTTGGGGCCTGATGAGAAAACATCCAGGTAGGAGGTGGTTGCAATGCGCTCGAAACTCAACAATGTCCATTTAACAAAAGTAAGGATCACGTGTTGAAGATTATTAGCCTAATGGATGCATGTTGTAGTATGAGTGAAACAGTAAAATAACTGAACAAGAGTTTTTTCTACATAAGCTGCATTAGTCAAAGCTTACTGTAAACACCAATATGGAAGCAAATTACAACTAAAAGGTTGCCATTAATTTGTTTGTTGTTTTGTGATGCTCTAGCTCGAAAAAATCAGACGCTTTTTATAGAGCTGATCTGGTGCAATATAAATTTATGATGCATTGGCTCCCTAATTGGATAGAGTTGGGAGGTAAACATATTTAAAAGTAGACACTGAATGGTTTTGGAGGGACTGTACAGCTGCTGTGTCTTCTCCAGAGAAATAAAACAAATACTGCATACCCTTCACAATCTGGCCACCAGATGTCCTGGGGAAGTAGGGTCCATATTTAAATAAGCTAATAGACAACCACATCGTTGTCTGGTAGTGTTGAATTTGATCAAAAATGCCAATACCTTTACAGATAACCATAATCTATCTCAAAAATATTTATAACCTTGTTATGGCTGGTGAAACAAAAAGATGATAGACAGGTTTAGTAAGCTCAAAAAAAAGATCTCACAGAGCTGTGAGAAAGCCATGCAGTCGTGGGCATGGATAGTAATTAATTTCTACGGCTGCAGATCATTGTTAGCGCTTTAAAGGGCATGCCTGGGATGATTTTACAGACCTGGTCTGCATTTTCTGGAAACACTGAAGCAAGACTCATCCCTACCAACATTCTACCAATAGTCTGACTTAGACTTAGACAAACTTTACTGTCATTTTGTACACACAGGGTGTATACAAAACAAAATTTAATTCAGTACAACTCTCAAGACATTTCCATTTCTTAAAGTGCATCAGTGATAAAACGTAAACATGCTGATCAAATGTAAAAATAAATGATTTACAGTGTTTCCAACATCTCCCTGTTTTATTCGAACTGACCAGTCTAATGGCAGTAGGGAAGAAGCTGTTTTGGTATTTGCTGGTCCTGCATCGGATGCTTTGAAGTCTCTTCCAAAAGGGGAGCAGGGAGAACAGTCCATGGTTGGAGTGTGAGAGGTCATCAATGATCTTACGGGCTCGGGAAACACAGCACTACTGTAGGAAGAAATGTCTTTTATGGAGGGAAGATGAACCCCGATGATCTTCTCTGCAGTTCTCACTACTCTCCTCATTTTCTTCAAATCTGCAGGGTTGGTGCCTCCACATTACACAGTGTGACAGCTTGGAGCAGGTGGGCTCTTCTCATCCTCCTTAGGAAGTACATGCACTTTCGTGCCCTTTTGACCAGTGAAGTGGTGTTTACAGTCCAGGTGAGGGTGTCTGTGATGTGCATCCCCAGAAATGTGGTGCTGCTGATCACCTCTACAGCTCAGCTGTTAATGAGCAGTGGAGCGTGTTTAGGCGGATTCTTCCTGAAGTTGACGATGATCTCCTTCGTTTTCTTCACATTCAGGATCAAGCTGTTATCTCTGTACCCTCCCCCAGCTGCTCCACCTCCTCTCTCTGAGCAGGGGGAGACAGGGCGCAGTCCTGAGGGGAGCCTGTGCTTAGGGTGATGACATCAGAGGTGTTCTGTCCGACCCGGACTGACTGAGGTCTGTTTATGAGGAAGTCTAGCAGCCAATTGCAGGAGGTTGTATTGAAGCCCAGCTGTTTCAGTTTTCCTATCAGATGCTGTGGGATGATGGTGTTGAAAGCTGAACGGAAGTCCAAGAACAGCATCTGCATGTGGGTGTTAGTCTCCTCCAGGTGTGCTAGACACAAGTGAAGAGCAGAGGAGATGATGTCCACAGTGAAGCTGTTCCATCTGTAGAGGTGTGATTGAAATAATCTTGGCACACTGCATCTCGTTGTGGTATGTAAGCGGCAATGGTTGACAAAAGGGCCCTGCAGAAGATAGTGAGGGAAACTGAAAAAGCCATTTAAATGCCCCTACACTATTCAGGATCTGTTTCAGTGCAGCTGCAGGAAACTAGTTCTGAACAGGTTTCCTTACTCCTCACCAACATTGTATTGAACTGCTGCCATCAGGCAAACAAAATCAAAGCATCTATCGCCCCATTTTCATTGGCTCCACTTAGCCTGGCTCTACCCTACCCCACTCATCAAACATTCCCATTACTGTTTTTTATCAGTACTGGTAGTGGCTTTTTTCAGCCCTTCCCAGAAGTAAAGAGAGGGTTGAAAAAAGCCTGTACCAGTCCTGAAAATATCAATATAACCAGAAAACACAACAAATATCAATTTGACTATATGATCTGGTTGAACTGTAAAGTGCCTTGAGATGACATGTGTTGTGAATTTGGTGCTATATAAATAAACTGAATTGAATTGAATTGAAAAGGCACTAATGGTGTCAGAGTTTGGTTGTGGTTTTGAGGACCCAAATGCAGAGGCAGGGAGGCAGAGGTAAGTTTCTTGAAGATTTAATTGAATGATCACAAACAACTGAGGAAGGAATACAAAAATCCAACTTAAAATGTAACACAAACCAGAACCATGGAAACATCGTGGATTCAGGGAAAGGCGAGGAGAGACGAGCTAAGACGAGGAACCAGCAGTGAGGAACTGCACAGGGAGAGTATTTATGGTAGACTGAACAAAGAGAGGACTAACGAGCAGATTGGGACCAGGTGTGAAGAGAGGAGTCTAGAAAGGAGCTAGGGAAAAGGAGACCAACACAAGAGGGCAACAAATAAAAACTTAAGAACTCAAATATAACCAGAAAACACAACAAAATAGGAATTAAACCAATAATACTAGAAAACATAGAGCAAAGTTAAACTGAATACTCAAAAGAAAACATAACAGATCAAAGATTATCTGCAAGTAACCACCTTCAGCTTCATTCTCTGTATTTGGGTTTGGGTCCTCCTCTTAAACGTCCAACCAAGAGTTTTTTTTTGCATATGTGACAAAAATTTGCTATGCTTAATTTGCTATGCTTAATTTGTTTGCTTTTTTTTTTTGTTTTTTTTTGTCCTGATTCAGATAGTGTAAGGATTCAGATCCAGATAGGTCTGTTTTATTTGGTGTAAGGTCTAGGTGGTACACTATGGATTTATCATTATATATTTTTTTTTATGTTTTTAAATGCTTGGACGATTTTTGGATCTTTGGACTTTTAGCCTGATACGATACAGGGTGTTAAAAAAAAGTATTTTTATGAACTCATTAATGCCAATCAAAACTCCATCCTGAATGTGATTATTTACAGAATCACTGAGTTGTTTTTGTATTTTTGAGTAATGCATCTATTTATATGTGATTGCAGAAAAGCTAAAGTTAATCCACTGAAAAAATGGAAGAACTTTGGGGGTGAAAGTGGATGTATAATAAATTGCATATAATCCTTATTTCTTTTAATTGTCACACAACTACAAATCTCTTTGTATTATCAGTTCATCTTGGTGTAGCATAGAGCATTTTGATAGAGTTTTAAACATTTTACAAATCCCTCACATTTACTCAAATAAAGGTGCGTTAATAGTAAAAGTGGAGACTGTCTTCCATACTATGCAGCTAAAACACCTCATGTTTGGTAAATGTCTCCTCTTGTGCTCCCTGGTCCTTCTTTGATCAGGTTGTAGCAAACAAGCCACAAGAAAAGGCATTGTTTTCATGTAGTCTGAGTTAGATAATCACTGATAAAAGAAACAAGTCTAAAGTTTAAACCAGGCATTTCCAACAGCTCATGAGAAAAATTCTGTGAAAAAATAAAATAAAATCCTAATTTGGTGCAGACTTTGAGCTTTGATGGGGTGATGAACAAAATAATATTAGGTGAAAGGGAAAGACCACTGATTCATTTTTAGCGTGGGAATTTTCATTACTTTTGATTGAACTGTATAAACATCAATTGGATGCAAGGGATTGGAGCAAAGACGTCGAACAACTAGAAGGATCAGAAGGTGATCCAGAAGTAGCTGTGGGAATCTGGCTCCTCTGAGATAAGTGAAAGCATGAGTGGTTGTGTGGGCTTTAACATGATGACGCTCAGAGCTCTTTCCCCCTGGAGAATAATGGGCTGAAAAGTGGAGACACTGAACACAAGCAGAGACGCACAGAGAGCAGCACGGCGGTTTCATAAGCAGCGGCGTCTTCCTCTCTGTGCGCACAATGAATATTTTCTTCAACTTGAGGGGGAATATAGTGAGACAAGCAGCAGAAGAAAGAAATGTTACAGGTATGTTTTTTTATTATTATTTTTTTATCAAACAAAAATACTTTAAAGTGCGTGTTATCGCGTTTTTACGCCGAATTTTTTCAAGACTTGTGGCTTTAAAACTATTACTACATAATACAGATACAGAAAATAAGCATTCTTGTGATTTCCGAGTTGCTTTGGAGTTGGGAATGTCTTCGGATTTAACATTTTTAAGGTTCCATTTTTTACGCAGTCATATTTCTACATTTAGAACCGGAGTTGCATTTTCCTCCTGTACCACCAGATGACTCTGACTGATGTGAATTTAATGCAACATTTCACTGTTTACAGGAAATAGAAGAAAAAAATATGCAAACAATTAGATGCAAATGGAATGCATTACCTGGGATTTATTAACTTATATATGTACAGCAATAGGCTCAGACATTCTACTAAAATTCCTCGGATCCGTTTCAGTATAAAACGCAGCAGTTTTCTCAGCAGTTAATGTTTTGTCTCAATATTGTCCAGTAGATGGCGAGACTCCAGCTGGGGACTTCAGGTTGAGAAATCAGCAGCTTTAACCCTGCTGCTGTGACTGATCAAAAGAAGAAAAGATGCTGATGCTGCTATGGAGGCATGAAAACCGGGAGGACAACCCGCTTACATGACGTCCTTATTTTTAGATCCAGATGCATCATGGTAGAGGATTGCAGCGGAGAAAGCCCAGAGATGAGCCTCTGCTTGTAGCTGCTTTTTTAGATCAAGCGTTTTTGTTATGTAAGCGCGACTGAGAACTGTCATTCTGAAGAATAGGAGATCATTAAGTTTTTAACCAACAAGATGCGGACTAAAAATAGCGTTAGTTTGCCTGCATCATTCTTCTGCTAATATTGATGCAAAGAAAGTTGCTGCTAGTATTGATATTTAGGATTGGATAGAGGGGGCAGGTGTGCAGGTAAATAACAAATTAGGACGCGCGTTAGTCTTCAGTGCTGAGTTTTGGGATTTATTTTCAACTATAACCAAACCTTCTTATGCACCATCCGGATTGGAGGTAACTGAGTGAAGGAGCTGATTGAACCGAACTATCAGACGTGTTGTTGTTGTTGGGTTTAATGAACCCTGATGTTTAAGGTAAATCTGGTGGACAGAGATCTAGAGCTGAATTCCCTCCCCCAGCCTCAGCCATCATCTCACCTGTCCCTGTTCAGGGGGGGTTCAACACTCACTTGGATTTACTGATGGGAGACAGACTGTGTTGCCATGGCAGAGGTGTAAGCACAGTTTGTCAGTTTAAGCCAAAACTGTGTTTAGGATGATGGGACCTCGGACAGAAACGGGGACGCATTTAGGTAAACGGATTTCCCTTAACAGTTTAATTATTTTTTTATTGTTGTTTTAATTATTTTACTCTGTGGAGGTTCTAGACCAAATGGACCAAGGGGCCAGGAGGGGGCCAGTGTGTTTTCATGGGGGCACAGAAGAGCATAAAACAAAAAAACAGGGCAAGGGATTCAAATAAGATAGCTGCATGAAGTTAGGTTTCTATTCAATTAGGTTTAATTAAATTCTGTCTTCCAACTGAAAATATTTATTTTTGGCTTGAAAATGTTTATTTGGATTATCATTAAAATCTAAATAAAATTCTCTTAGCTTAGCAAAAAAGCAACTTATTTGACTTATTTGGAATATTAGGTCAATATACATTTATAATTTAGGAATTTAGCATTTTTTTTTAACTTAATTTAAGTTGAAATTAGAGTTTTATATAAAATCGGAATTAGAAATCAAGTAACGCTTATAAATTCAGCTGAGTATTTTCTTTAATTTGTTTTGAAAAAAACATTTAGCAGAGTAAAACTGGGAGCCTATCTCAACACTACTGAAGCTATCACCTTATTGTCTTTAAATAATTAGAATATTAGTGGATTTTTTTAACAAAGGATCCAAAGGACCTATCGGTAACCATGTCTCTTCCAGTGCATACCATCGGTTGAATTTCTTTTAGTATTATGTCTTCAGTATAGGGGCCATAACAGGGGCCAGGACATGATCTACAGGGGCACTGGCCCCTGTTGGCCCCTGTTTAGAACCACCCATGGTTTTACTATTAATTGGCCAAATGAAGTGCCATGGTAACATTGCACAAGGTGCACTGCAAAAACTATCTAAAACTAACTAGAAATAAGTCAATTGTTAAATGAAGTGTATTCACACGTAATTAGAGTAGGAAAATAAGATGGTCTGCCAATGGAATGATGATTTTTACTCCTAGAACATGATGATTACATGATATAAGACAATGCAATTACTTTTTCTCATTTTAAATGTTAATTGTCTTTTTCCATTGGCAGAGTGTCTCACTTAACTCCACAATTCAAGAAAAAAATGCACTTATTTTAAGAATAAATGATGTTTTCTGCTGTGTAAGAAGCTTTCTGTATTAACCTTTCTGCTTATCACTGATGTGATGGTGTTGAGCTTGTAACTCTTCTTTTTTCGTTTAGTTTTCTCCTTTTCAGTTGTGGTTAGGTTTGTAGTTGTATTCATTTAAATAAATTAAGAGAATAGTCTGTTTTTATTAATTAGAATACTGCTGAAAAGTGCAAAAGGTGAAAAAGGTTATAAAGATTACTTACGCATATGACTATTATAATATTTTGCTTACAGCAAATGAAAACCAAGTGTTTAAAATTAAAATCTTACATAAGACCAATTAAAATCCATAATAACACAAGAAAGTACTTTGAAAACCTGCTTTATAGATTTTGTTTGTTTGTTTTTTTTGTTACTGAGTGGTATCTTGGAAACTTAACAGGTCTACTACCATTGGATTTAAAAGCCCCCTGTCTGTAATGCATTGCTGCATTGTTTAACCATGAGTGATAAAAAATAATGATGATAAAAAAAACACTAAAAATGATTATGTTATTCAAGTAGAAATTCCTTCTTCTATTCAGAGAAACAATTTGACAACGATTTTTTTTTTCTGTTTAAGCAGTCCCATTTTTACTTGTGAACAAAGGTGTCTGATTTTGCTTTTAAAATAATTTTAGAAAATTAAAGAAAATCCATCTATTGCCACTTCCAAATGCAACCAGATTATTAGCTCTTCAGTTCCCAGAGAATGTGTACGTAAATATATATTCATGTCTTCAACTATAAATGTGAAGCTATTCTTGATTTATTTAGTTGCATTTTTTGAGGCAAAAATAAGTCTCAAAGCTGCACTGTATATTGATGATGATTCAAGGTATTTACCATTATGTACCAGCATGTTAATCTTATATGTATTTGTAACAGGAAGATAATAAAAGTCTACAAGAAATATAGTGTACTGAAGGCAAATATTTTTGCTCTTAGTGTTCTTAAAATACATAGATGCAGCCAGAAACATATATATATATATATATATATATATATAATTTTAATATCAATCCATTTTATTCCATACATGAAGTGGAAAAGTAAAAGGAAGGGCCTATTCATTGTCACAAACTGCCTCATCCAACCGGTAAGCATTCAAGGATTGCCTGTTTTATTCCCCTTAGATACACAGATGATTTCACCATATCTAAATTTGTCTTCTACTCGTCGGTGCTTTTATTGCTCTATTCCACATCAGCACACATTTGTCGTCTTCCCTTTCCCTTCTCTCTGTCAGTGTTTGTCCAGGTGTTTGCCATGGCTGATAACAGAGAGCATGTCTGCTGCTATTAGCCCACTGATTAGCCCACACTATGACCACCCAGGAACTCATCCACACAGAGTACACAAATTGGAATTATCCACTTACTGTTTGTTTAGTTTAAGTATAGACTGCAAACATTCTTAGTAGCAATCAAAAAACACATGCATGAATTTCTCTCAATATGTCTGACATGACAGAGCTCATATTTATCTATTAGATATACTGTACTGTTTAAATGCATTAGAAATATTTTTATTTCATATATTTGTTTCCTGTTTTTGAATTTATTTCAATGTCCCTATTTGCTTCATAAGCATAAGATAGGCATAAAATCACTTTGAAATGAGGATTCCATACTCATACTCTAGGGTTGGTTTAATAAACACATACTCTGTAGATATTGGCCTCTGGTATTGTTACTCCACCTTTTGTGAATGAACACGATTGCGACCATACAATTGCATTACTACATATTAGTGCACTAATTCCTATTTTTAGGAAAGCTAATCTAAAAGAGTGGTGACTTAACTTTGGGAAGTCTTAATTTGTTAAATAAGCACCTTATGCAATATTGTTGAAGTAGTGAATTTTCAATAAGTGCCTTAAATCCTGCTGCTGATGTTACTCCTTTCTCTCTTTCTCCAATACCCCCCCCAACACACACAAGAAGGAATCATGAGTCCTCCACATCGATCATCAAGTTCCCATGGAGACAGGTAATTGTATGAAATTTCCTAATATTTGGCTCTTGGTGACAAGGATGACATTGTTGGTGCCTCTCGACTCCTGAAAGAAAAACCCACATTGGTCACAGAAATAACTTAAATGAAAAGTTACAAATAATAAAAAACTATATGAAAATGAACAAATCAAAATAGAACATTACTTTTCATTCATGCTTCAACAAATTGAGTTTAGAAAATAAAGTGAAGAAAGATGCCTGGAAAAGTGCGATGGTACCCTTAACTTAATGTTTTGTTGCACAACATTTGGAGGTAATCACTGCTACAAAAATACTCCTGTAACTTTTAATGTGACTTTTAGTCCATTCATTTTTATCCCATCTGTGTTTCAAGAGTTTATTCTTTGAAGTCAAGTTTGAAGTTCTGTTGAAACATTGATGAAAACAATGTCTTGACTTTCATTTCTTCATTCTGATAGAATTGTTATCTATCAGAATCAGAATAAAGTTTATTGCCAAGTAGGGCTGCAACAAAGAATCGATAAAATCGATAAAAATCGACTAGTCATCATCCATTAGTTGTGTCGCGCGATTAATGCGTCATCCGCCGCCGCCGTCATCACAGAGCAAGTCAGCGCTGCAGGTGTGCAGTGTTGCCAACTCAGCAACTTTGTCGCTATATTTAGCGACTTTTCAGAACCCTCCAGCGACTATCTTTCAAAAAAGCGACTAGCGACAAATCTGGCAACTTTTTACGGTGTCACTGGCGGCTTTTGGAGACTCTTACGTGAAAGCATGTATCGTTCCTACTCCTGTCCTCCAGCGGCAGCTGCTGCCGTGAGGCTCCCCCCCCCATCCCAACCCCGTTCACCCGCTCCCGCAGGAATCCCTCTCAGCGCTGCAGTCAGAGCCGCAGGATGTTTCAGCGTCCAGACTGCAAATGAAGCGCGCATGCGCTGGGATTGACGGCGCAAATTGATCACAATAATTAAAATAGCCTTTATAAATAAATTAACTTGTAAATTATGAGGGCAAGGCTTTTAAAGTTTCAATCTTCTGGCAAAGATAAAGTAAAGAAGATCCTGCAATTTATGGAAGTAAAGCAGAATAAAATCCAGCAAGATCAGAAATATGTCAATTAATTATATGCCACATTCCCATGTAAATATCTGTCTTTGGAGGATGTGTTTTTTAGCACCCCTAGTTCTCTCATTTTTATTCCAAATACAATTTATAGTTTGAATCACAGGGCTATTTTTATCTCTATGGTTAAGTATTTTCTCAAGTAGCAACTTTAACTGCTATACTTTCCTGTCTTAAAAGGCAGAACTCTTCTAGTCTAAAAAAAACTCATTTGATTAAATGGGGGGGGCTATTGTTTGAGCCCCTTAGGGGCTTTTAAAAACAAAAATGTCTTTTTATGCACTTTATGAAACAAAGTACCCTATATTTTGTGGATGTACAGCTACATTTCTCATGTAAGTTTGCGTAGTTTTAACACAAACATTTATTTTTCATATTGCACCAGTACAGTTAATGAGCAACCTGTACTTGTGTGCTTGTTTGTTCTGTCTAAAATGTTTATTTTGGAATAAAGAGGTTAATATAAAAAATATTTTTTGTCCGATTCATCGATTAATCGAAAAAATTATCGGCCGATTCATCGATTTTTAAAATAATCGTTAGTTGCAGTTGGTTGTTTTAGTGTCTTTCTGCTAATTTCTTTTTTATTCTTACAGAGTCTACTTTGATGGTAGAGGGGTAATTTTTTTATAATCTTAATATACATTTTTTAATTTTTAATGTTATAGTCGATAAAAAGTCGAATTACTAAATCTGTATCTTTGTTTTTGGCGTTTATTAATCAAAGTTTTATAGAACAGTATGTTTTTCTTCAGAAACATCCTATTGTTCCACTTTAGTGTGAGCATTTATAGCTATTTAACCATCTTATTATTCTGAAAATGTGAACACAGCAGCCAACAACAAAAAAAAAAACCTTAAAAAGTTTAGTTTAATTAAAATGTGACAGTTTAAAAAAAAGTAGAGCTTAAATGTAAGGTGGAATGAAAATGGAAAATATGTATTTAAAAATCCTTTATGCTGTTAACCCAACATAAAATCCATTGCAACAAATTGCTTCTAGAATTTACTCAATTTGTGCAACAGTCTTTCTGTGTGTAATTTAATCTCCATTTTAATATAAGTGTTTTGCAAAGGCATCAGGGATATTTTAGAGAACATTTGTGAATAAACAGCATCATCAAGAGCAAGGAACACATCAGACAGGTAAGGGATAAAGTAATAGCAAAGTTTTAAACACCTTGCAAAGCACTTTTAAAATCCTATTAACAAAAAAAAACTGTGCTGAAAAATTAAAAAAATAACAAGACATCAACTTAAGAGGAGCTGCTAAGATCAACAGCACAGAAAGGAAAAAAATCTATTAGCAGGACAACCATTAGCTGTGGACAACTCTGACTTAACCTCTATGGGAGAGGGTCACAAAGGAAGACATTATAAGCAAGTTAAAAGTTTTGTTTTTGCCAAGTCATGTAGAACACTGCTTGCATAGAAAAAAACATAAAAAAACGTTTTACAAAAACAAAAAAATATAATACATATTGAAATCAAGTGGCAATAAATTGAAAATAAGATTACAGATTGAAAAACATCAGCAAAAAGCCTGTTTAAACGATGTGTTAAACAATTTTAAAAGAGTCGATTGGAGGCATGAAAGGGAAGAACAAGAAAGCTGGATTATTTCTTCTGGTTTAGCTAAAGTGACCATGTGTCACAGTTTAGAAATGTTCCTTTAATGAAGGAATGAGATTTTTCATGTAAGTCAGGGCCGAGGGAAGAACAGAATATTACACCAGAGTGCTGAATGCTGGACTTCGAAGTCCAACAAAATAAAAATAATGAGCCTGATGGAGTTTTATATCTAGTTCAGGACAGAGGTGTCAAGTAACAAAGTACAAATACTTTGCTATATTAATTAGAAATTCTGTCTGGAATAGATATTTTTTAGACAACTTTTGACTTCTACTCCATACATTTTAAAAATAGTATCATTAGTTTTGCTTCATTTAAGCTCATTTTTTCATTTTATGTTCTGTTGATATAAAAAATAAATCAATAAAACCCATCAAAATCATTTGTTTCATCAGGATAATGAATTTCTTTGTGGTTGGACTGGGTTCTGCACCAACTTGTTAGCAGAATATGACTTAGACAGATTTATTTGTCATTTTGCTAGTTTAAAACAGAAATAAATTTATTTTGGAAAAGAGCTCTGGACAAATTCATCTTTTTAAAAGTGCAGCATTGAAAAATAGTAAAATATATATATATATATAAACAGAAATATAAACATATTACTGTAAAATTACAGTTCTAACATTTTTTAATATATATATATATAATGTTAAAATATAATAAATCTAATAAAATACAATATAACCCATTTTACAAAACATTCAACAGTCTAATGGCAGTGGGGAAGAAACTGTTCTGGAATGTATAATATACCAAACTTGGTATATATAACTAAGATGATGCAAAGTTAGATTTAACACTTTTTCCATCATTTATAAAACTAAGAATATTGTATATGAGGAAGTTACCCAGAATTGTAGAAAAAATTCCTTTAATAGGGTAGTACAATACCAGAAAAAGGTTTAAAGCACTTTTCCTTAATTGTTTTTCCTGCATTATTTTTACTTTTATAAATTGTTTTCAAAATTGTACTCTAACAATTCTACTTGAGTAAAAAGCTTAAGTTGATACTCTAACTTCTAGAAAAGTATTTTTAAATAGTAGTATGTATACTTCTACTTGAGCACTGAACAATACTTTTGACACGTCTGCTTCAGGAGAATGTATAATCATGGTGAGGCTTAAGTCAGGTGTGTGGCAGCAAGGAGATATTTCAAAGAATGGGCTCCTTGAGGAGAAAGGTTGAGAACCACTTATGTAGAGGACACAGTGATGTGTTTGATGTAAAACTAAAATATTAAATATCACATAAAACACAGCTTTGCTGTCATTAAAGATGGTTATAACCGGGTTATGGTTTGATAGAAAGATGGATGTATTTAAAACAGGGCAACCTTAGTAGAAAACCCTACAAAGGCTGCAAAACACTTGAGTGCAGTTTGCAAGCTCACCTTTCAGGAGGACACTAACTTTATACAAACATCCAGAACTGCAGTGGAGTGGTTAGGACAGCATAGTTCTGTGTAAAGCATCCCAGCCACAGCTCAGACCTAAATTTGAATTTATGTCTGTAGTTGAAAATGAATGTTCACTTAAGCTCCTCATCTGATGAAACTTAAACTGACAAGTTTTGCAAATGAGAAATTTCTGCGTTACGATATGGAAATCAGGCAGAAATGTACACTAACAGACTGCAGCTGTGATTTCAGTTGGGCTCTACAGAGCATTGACTCTGAGATACTTAATATAAATTCATGCACCACTTTTAAGGCTTTTATATGTTAAATTTTTAAAAGCATGTATAATTTATTTTGTCACCATGCCGTGTCACAGATTGGCATAAAGTAGTGCCATTCTGTCACATTAAATTCTAGTAAGATACATGGAAATGTGTGAAAATGTAAAGAAAATTAGCACATTTTTAGAGTATGCATACTTATTTAAGGTGCTCTAAGTCCTAATTTTCCCATGGAGATTCAAATTATTCTAATTATATCCATTCCACACAAAGCCATGATTCTGGGAACGACTCTATAGTTCAAAGAATTGAGCTAAAGTGTCACATTTTGACTGAAAAAGCAGACTTGTTGATGAGTAGATGCTGTTCTGCCTCTTGTTGTTCAGGTCCTCCTCTGAGACCCTGCAGAGAAACAACAGCAGCAACTCCGGTGTTATTCTGGATATCTCGTCTCTTAAGATAGCAGATGTGGATTCAGAGGTGCCTCCTCTTCCACCTCGCTACCGCTTCAGAGATCTCCTACTGGGGGACCAGACATTTCAGAATGATGACAGGTAGCAAGAAAACACCATATTTGTTGTTCTATAGCATGTGATTGCCTGTCAAGAGGAACGTTTGTGTGCCTTCTATGCATGCATGGATTCTTCTGTCTTGGGAAAAAATATCTCAAGTGAAGCCTACTACACAGCAAGTTGTGCTTATCTTTTTATTTATTGTTTTGCTGAATTTTCCATGATGAGTTTTTCTTAGCGGCAGTAGCAGGACCTTTCCTTTTGGTTTTATGTGTGGCTGAATTAAAATACAGGCAGTTAACTTTACTTTTAGTCTTTATTTGAAAATGATCTTACTCTTTTTGAAAGTTTGCAACTGCTTTACTTTTAATTAAAAGAAATTAACATTTTGAATTGAATTGTTAGACCTTTTTTGGTTTAATTAACCCATACATTGGATATGAAATAGAAATGGAAAGAATAGGTTTTAAAAAAGATTCCGTTTGTGGCTAGTTTCAGGACTTTTTTTTATGTAATATTCCTTTTTAGGGCAAAAAAACATCATTGCCTGCTGGATAGTAAGTGCCACAGTTACTAGCGTGTTTGGAGTCTCCTAAGACTGGGAAGATTTTCGGCTCTTACTGCGGTCAGAAAGCCTGACTAACAGCTGCTGTTTATGACCCATGACAGGAAGAATTAGCCTCAACCACCACTGAGCACTATAGGAGCTCTCCGTGGTGCTGAATTGAAACAAAGCTAAAGAGAAAAAGTGGAAGGCTGCTTAACACTATTATTGTTTTGTGACTTCCAGTTTCATATGAAAATTCAAGGAAAAATTTTACCTCTAGGATCAGTGTGGGCAGGCTTGCATATGCAAGGAGATCAGTTAGTAAAAAAAAAATCCTTAGTTTGCATCCCAGCTGGAAACCTCATTTTATAAAGATGTAGTTGATTGCAGGTGCCGATTTTATACCTCTCGGTATGATTTGTTCAACATGTCTATTACTTTGCTTTTTCATAGCTATTGGGATGTCATTTAATCATGTATCATCTATTAGCTTGTATCATCAAAAGCATTAAGGTGCTTGGTTACTTTATGATTAAGACCACTATTTATATTTATAACTGTTTCAGACATTTCGTGGCCTATTTTCAATCACCCAGTGGTGTTAGAATACCGCAAAATTGTACTCAAGTAATAGTAGCACTAGTTATCAAGAAAAGGTTCAATTAGGAGTAAAGAAGTACGTGGTAAAAAGTCTTCTCAAGTATAGAGTGATTGATGGATTATAACATCTGATTTATGTCTAGAAATGTTGCCATCAGACAGACTTTTAGGCAAGATCTGGTATTTTAAAGAATAAAATACATTAAAAGATACAAATGAGTCATGATGATTACAAAATATAAATTCCTAAAAATTAAAAAACTTTATTTTTTATATTTTCCAACATGAAAACTATTAAATGAAATCTTTTAGTTAGAAATGTATAAATGTTACTATGGGGTATTCAAATTTCAACATTTACTGTTTACTGTGATCTATGAATAGATCAATTTACCTACAGTAGACAGAGCAGCAGGAACATTTACATTGATGATTTACTAGAATAATACCCATGTAAAAAGGAAATAATATGATATGAAAGTAAAACTACTTTTTTTAATTACTCAAGTAAATGTTACTGATTGAATATAGCCAACTCTACCCACCTCTGACCATACCTATAACAATTGCATCATATTAAAAATCCTTCTGACTATACTGAGAATATATACATCGTTTTTTGTTTGTTTTTTTAATTCCAGGGTAAAATCATTCATTATAAAGTCTTAACAATAAAAAAATAATAGTTATGGTTTTTTTATTTAAAAACTGACCAAAGTATCTTTCCATTACTGAACTTATAGAAATGCAGTAAAATCCTAAATGGTTTTAAGATAATGTAATATGTGCAATTTTTACTCTCAACGGAAGTCATGGTGTAGTAGTCTTTCCCTATGAGGATTTGGATTCAGTGGTTTATGTCAGGCCTTCTGAGTTGCATCTTATATAAATGAAAAAATAATACAGTATGATATTTTAGTATGAGTTGGAATATTTATAAGTAAATATACAAATTTGTTTACTAGCAGTGCACCTCTCAAGCCCTTTTTTATTGTTTTTTTTTTTTTTTTTTCAATCTTTTAGTGTCTCTGAGGCCTCCTGTAGTAAATTGTTGCCAGTATGTTTACTGTCAGTGTACAGTAAGGCCTATTATCTCCATATGACATCTAGAATGGCATCGCATTTGAAAGCCCCTCCCCCACAAGTGGTCATTCTGCTTTCTGAACAAGTCTGGTGATTTCTATGTAGGTTTGATGTTTCCACTGGTGCATACCTGTTTTTTCTTAAGTATAAACAAAAAGATGATAAATAGAATTAAACTAAAGGTGGATAATATATATATATATATATATATATATATTTTTTTTTTTTTTTTTTTTTTACAAATGATTGCAATGAAAAGCTCAGACATTTATTGGGAATGACTTTTCCATCTATGCTCTGTAACGTATTTTAAATTCAATTACAATAAGGGGATTGTTTTGTTCATAAGAATGCTTCCTTCAGTTTTTTCCTGTTTTTGCTGATCACATTGTAGTTGCAAAGGGTAATTAGAGTCTGTTGCTTGGCTACCGACAAATGTATGGTTGAGTGTATGCTGGCATCCATGTGTATGTGTGTGTGCTTGATGCAAGCAAACAGCTATATCATTCTTAGACACTGCCAAGAATTTAATTTTACAGTAGCCATTGTTTCCTTAAATCAATTAACTTGGAGTTTTACATGCCTGTAAGTTCACTTTATTGTAACTTTATGATATTTATATTTTTCTGCAAGAAAAATTGTGATTTCTGGACTCTGTGTAGAATTGAAAGCAGTGACACTGGACTTGGCCGAAGAAATTTTCTAGTTAATTATTCTTATTCTCGTTGAGTGTAATGCAAATTTACAATTTATATAATGTCTTATAAATTGTGTAGCTTACAAAAAATGAGAATTAGCTGGCCAATGTGTTCACTGCAGTTTTGTTTCTGACAGTCATCTTAGGTTTAGTTTTGGTCTTAGGCTTCAGGACAAAAACCATTATTAGTCTTAGTCACATTTTAGTAATTACGATATGTGATAGTTTTAGTCAGTTTTAGTCGACTAAAACGTAAAAAGGTTTTAGTCTAGTTTTAGTCAGTTTTATACTGCAAAAAAAGTTAACCTTTACAATTTTGAATAACAACCAGATTCTTTACCGGACTGAAAGCTCTTGCCTAGATACTATAATTGCTGGGTTTACAATACAGCTGTGCACTTCATCATTGCTGTTGGACAAAAAACTTTGATTTATAGAATTCAAATAAACCTTTTTATGAATCAATGCCCTACTTTCTAAAAAAAAAAGTGCTCGTGAGAGCTGTGAAAAAAGCAGATCTAGTTAAACACATCATTAATATAGCAGAAAGATAAGCTAACAAACTACAATAAGGGAATGGTTTTATACATATAACATTTCCATCCCAAAGCAAATACCTTAGGATCTGCTATAAATTATGTATTACACACATCAATAAAATCTTCAAAAAAGCAAAGAAGAAAAACATTCTCCTTCTCCTTTAGCAATTCAGCCTTTATTTCTTCAATTTACCCCTCGGATACTGCTGCTCAGGGGTCAAAGTAGATTTAAATACTGAGGGTTTTGATGTAAAAAAAAAAATAAAAAATACAGAAAGAATGTACCTAATTGCCATGTAAATCCATGGCAATCCAGACCTAAACTGAATGAATATGCTAACAAAAATGTTGACATATTCAAAGTAAACATAGAAAATGTTTTTAATAAAAATAAACATTTACATCATGTTTAAAAAGATAGAAACGAAAAGACGCATATCTGCACAAGAAGAGCTAGAAGAGCAGTTTGTCAAAGTTCAGCGTGCCGAACCCGACCATTCTGGATTGTTTTCTCCCCTGCCTGCTGCCATGATCCATTTGTGGTCATGCAGAATCCGCACCGCTGCAGGCCAGGTGGGCTGCTTGACCAAACAAGACACAGCTGCACTGCTAATACTGCTTAGCTCTTCTAACAGAATACAACACAATGATGCATTTTAAATGTCTGACCAACCATGACTATTCATGTTTTAATCATCAAAGATCCATGTTTAGCTCGTCCCTTTCTTTATCGCCATGAAAAAAATCAAGCGTCAACGAAGTAATTTCATCATCATTGACAAAAACAACACTGGCTCACTGGGTGTTGAGTGGAAAACCTAATAGCTTCAAGGTTATCAGGGCTAATTAGGGCTAATGAGTACTAAATAACCAGATAATAATTTCAAAGGGCATTGACAAAAATCAACTAATGTGGACTAAAATAAAAAAATAATACATCCACCTATGTTATTGCATCTTTATGTTTATAAAATCAGGTCATTGTATGTCTACATGGCCAACACATCATAGCAGTGGCTTGAGGAAAAACCTAAAAAATCTGAAGCTAAATATAATTTCTGGTTTTGAAAAAACCTTTAGACAGAAATAACCCATTTTTATTTCATGTTAACTTGTCTATTCTCAAAGCATAAGAGTATAGTTTCCACTCTAAACAGGTCGATCACTGAAACTGGATTTTTTTGGCGTTCTTTTTAGCACATCGATATTTTTGCAAATTTTATTGTACAGGCCATTTACCATTTACCATGAAAATGTTAGCAATGATCAAATGACCACACTAACTTCTCCAACCTTTTAGCAGTGCCATTATGCTTTTTAGAAGCCAGTGTGTCTTTTATAACTGTCTGAAATAACCGAAAGAAAGTTTGTCATCATGCTCCCTGTGTGGACTCTTTAAATTTCGATTCTTCAACCACATTCATCTTCATTCCACATCTTTTGGTAAACAATAAAGGATTATAGTTTTCCTTTGTGTGTTTCTACACATGCATAGGCTGAAATCAACTGGTCTGGTTAAATGTTTCTTCAGCTACTTTAGAAACACAACTCATTACATATAGTATAAAAGCAAAAT